TTTTTTTCAAATCTATAATTAATGTATTTATAGTTCAACTTTTACATAATTTAAAATTAATCTCTCTTTATGTAATCTTAAAAGTGTATCACCAATTCAACTTAATGTATTTAAAAAAATTAATTTTTTAAGTACTAATTTCAAAACTTGAATTTTAAATTCAACTTAAATAACATTTATTCTCTTGAGATTAATATTTTAATTATTTATTAATTATTAGTCTCTTCCTATGAAAATTGATAGATTTTTATAAGAAATTTGTGTTTTTAATTTACTAAAACCTAATACAATCAGTTTTTTTTTTTTGAAAATAATATTTAAAATTTTGTGTTCATTATCATGCCACACCAAGGCATCCGTCATACAACATAAAATCCGCTTCTTTCTGAAGAAGGCACACTGAGCAATCACATGAAATCGATTAAGGTAACATAATGAAGAAAACGTGCTAGATATTAATTCTCGTGGGAGAATGGAATAAGATCATAGATGGCGAGCCAGTGCTCCTTGGCTGATTAACACGTTTTTTTTATGAATTAAAAACAGAGATCATTGTCTAGTTTATGCTTCCAAATGAGATAGGCTACATCTAATTAAGTACAACTCAACCCAAACTAACCCTGGATCTGAAATGTAGAACATAAAAGGTGTTGGAAAGGGAGAAACCAATTATATAATTTTTATTGCACAAGTGGAGAATGGCAGTGACAGCGTTCAAGTTCCAACCTCTGCAATGCTCTGCAAGGCTGGCCTCCACTGCCCCCCACCACCACCACTTCCTCCGCCGTGTTGTCTCCCGATGTATCTGTTGCTGCTGCTGCTACCGCTGCTGCTGCTGCCACCACCACTATTGCTCCTATGAACTTCCTGCTGAAAAAGATTTTTAAAAGAAACATGAGACAACGACTATTCAAGACCATGACCACTATATATATCATCAACTTTATACATGCAGACACCACGTGCACCTGCTCTCCACTACTTGCATGCAAACAAAATTGCAGCATCATCATTCAAGTTAATGGTTCACATATTTCCCTTCAAAAAACCACTGGATTTTTCCTTTATTTGTCACATTCATACAGCTAGCTTAGTCATTAGTCATTACACCACTGATGTTTTGGGGACCCATGTTTCTGAAGAATTCAGACCCTAACACAACCATTACAATGAACGAGAATATCAAAGTTTTAATTTTGTCTGTCCTCTCCCCTATCTGACATATGCTAATTGCATTCACATGTACATTATTTTGTAACATGAAAGAATCAATTATTTAACATTACATAAATTTAAATTTATCAATCAGAACAAAATAATTTTATTGTAGATACTGATTTTTTATTTCTACTTTTTCTTTTTAATTAAAAAAAATTGTCTTTTCTGGATCATAAAGAAACCAGGACACACTGTCTTTTTCTGCCACTAGAGTCAAAAAGACAAAAAAACAAAAGCTAATCCCACGAACTACCAATCCCACGTTAAGCACTAATTACTAACTATTAGTAATTGTAGTTTGCCAGAAATTTACCTTAACAGAACTGCAATTCTCGGATTTCAAGTTGGGGTTGGGACACGAGGAACCACCGGCGCACTCCTTTCTCTTCAACTCCATCCCAAGACTTCCCCTCTCCTTCAGCAGTTTCCCAAGTTTCCCGCACTTCTTTGCAGCAAACTCCTTTAGAACATCTGCCTCAAAACCACATACACAGATGATGAAATTAAAGCGAAACTTGCATTTCAAAAACTAATTAAGGCCATGAATGAACAGGGGCGGTTTACGGGTATCCGTGATAAGTATGCAGATGGAGGGACAGCGTAAGAATAGTAATTATTTACCTTCGAAGCTTATGAGGCGATAAACCTGGCCGATTAACAAAGTGTCATCGGGTCTCAAAAGCTTATGCTGCTTCAACGGCATGCCATTTTCGTTCTTCAACGTCGGGGACGTAACCACGAGCGCTACATAATGGCCGGGGTTCGAACTCATGATCTCATTAGCACTAACAGACCAGTAAATCCTCTGGATCTTGTTCCCCGGATGCTGAATCACTACCGTCGCTGCCTCCGCCGCTTGACAGTTTCCCATCCTCACGGAAATCTCAAACCCTGGCTCTGAATCTCTTAAGTTTTTGGTAATATAAACGTAAACCTGTGCTGAGTGCTAACGATGCTCTTCAAGACTCCAGGGATGTGACAGGGCTGATGAGGCCCAGAAAGAAAAAGAACCAAAAATAAAAAAGGGAAGAAGAAAATTTGGAACCAAACACGACTCTTGTGTGTCAGTTCTAAAAACTCTTAATTAATGCAACTTTTGATTTTTGAACTTTACGCCATGAGAGGACAGAGTCAAAGTAAGGATGGCTTAAGGGAGAAACCAAAAAGGGTTGTTTGGGGAAACGATGGAAAGTGTTTGGTTTGTAGCTTATATTGGGAGGAAAGCGTAAATGGAGAAGAGGGATACGGGATACGGGATACGTGCTAGACCTGCCACAAAAAAAAAAACAAGGGATGGAAATCCACCTGGGTTGCGTTCAAAGGGGAGAAGGGTGGCTCCGCATGGTGTGCAGCTGGATGGATGATTCAATTGAATGATAATTTCGTCGTCCTGAGTTAGGAAGATGATTGGTTCAAAGTTGGTTGTTAGAGAGGCATTAATGTATAGGACGTTATGAGCTTACGCTAGGGCCGTATGATATTATTATGGTGAGGGGCGATGGTCCCGCACCTATTGGTTTATTTTTTGAGGAAAAATGAATAAAAGGTTCTTTTTCGGGTACCTTGAATTTGAGACGTCACCGGAGATTGAAGAAAGATTCTCGCCTATGTAGCTAAGGTTTCATTTCCAATTCAATGCTCTTTCTCTTTCTCACTTGCATCAATCACCTCAAAACTTTATATTTCTAATTAGAAAGAATGTTTTGTAGTCCCAGTACAAAACACATTCTTAGTTATTAGATTTTGGTAGTAAGAGATTTTATTTAAGGGTTAGTATTTATTTGTCTTATTTTTAAAAAATTAAGAGAAAAAAAAGATAAAAATTATTTTAATGTATATTTTTAAAATAAGATAATTTAATCTTTTTCAATAAAAATTTATTGAAACGATGTAATTTTAAGATGATTTTTCTCTTAATCTTTAATAAATAACGCTGATAGGCACTATTTTTTTATTTAATGAGTATATTTTGTAATTTAAATAATAAAATATTAAATTTATTTTGATTTGATGTTTGTGTAAAATTTTATTTATTTATTTTTATAACATAGGTATTCAAAATTTTTAATTCAATTAATACACAAATATTTATAAATTATTTAGTTTTTGAGAAGACCAACGAGAAAATAAAAAAAAATTTAAAAATTTAAAATTTTAATATAAATGATTTATTTTTTAACTAGCGTATATAAAACTTTTAAAAAGTAGTTAAAACTAATTTGGAGTTCCTCACTTTACAAAATTGGTAAGTTTTAGTGTTTAATCTTATAACATGACATTTTTAACTTTTTATCTTACAAAGTTGATAGGTTTGAATCCTTCACCTTACAAATTAGTAAGTTTTAACCTCTCATTTTATATTATGACACTTTTAGCATCTTATTTATATGAATTGAAAAAAAAAATTTCACTTAAAATCATGTTATAACATTTTGTTAATTCTGTTAGTTGACTGTTAGTTCTATTAGTTGATTGTTAACATCTGTTAGTATTCCGTTAATGGAATTAACAAATAAAATTGAATTTAAATTTCATATTTTCTATAACGAAATGCTAACGAAAGTTAACAGTCAGTTAACAGAACCAACAGAATGTTATAACTTAATATTAGATAGGAGTTTTTTTTTTTTCAATTCATATAGGTAAAGGGTTAAAAATACAGAATATTAAATGAGAGGTTAAAATCTACTAATTTTGTAGGATGAGAGACTAAAACTTACTAAATTTGTAAAGTAAAAAATTAAAATTATCACATTATAAAGTGAAAGGTTAAAACCTACTAATTTTATAAAGTAATAAGATAAATATTGATTTTTACCCTAAAAAATTACATTTTTCCCAACTTTGCGTTCAATACTATCTTTTCAAAACCCGAGTCCAATGAGATAAAACGTGGAATTTCATCTAATTTTTAATGCTCTAGTCAAATTCAGAGTTCATCGTGCCCACCAATAATGAATGAGTTAGGCCGATCAAAGCTTAAGGTAACGTGTTTGGAATGGGAAGTTTAATTTGGAAGCCAGGTAAAAAGCTACCACCCTTTAATGTATTAGCACCGAATCAACTTTTTCTGCCACCAGATTTCATGTCAACCACTGGTGGTGACGCCACCGCGTCATCAACTATCAATGGTGAACCCGTAGCCACCGTGGCCCTGCCCCTCCCTTGTCTCAGTCACCTTTTCAATTTCAATGCTTTTGTGAATTTTGTCATTTTATCCACTCGGCACAACTCACTCAAGACTGGGCTTCTCCAAATCCATTTCGTGGATCACTTCTCGTAACTTTCATTTTTCAGCCCAAACTGCAATAACATTCATTATGCAAAGCCCACATAACTTCACAGGCCGAGTCCCTATTAATTCGCTTTGTACCCTTTTTTCTGTTTTAACTACCAACAGAAAATTGCCTTAAAAAAAAAATAAAAATCACACCAACAGAAATTTCAACAAATTAACACTAAACATTATTACACAGAATCGTCCTCAATTAGTTTGGTGGATTATACACCCAATAATAACGGCATTTATCCTGCAAACTAGCTTTGGCAAATTAGTCCGCTACTTTGTCTGCAGCTCTAGGAACATACACAAAAAGACGTGGAAAAACATTGAGAAATTTCTTCATCCTGGATTACAAACAATGACCTAACCCTTTTCTCTTTATTTTGGAAATTATCATCTAATTTTTTCATTTAATGAGATCTCTTATATATAATATAATATATATTTATACTTATTTATTGA